TGACAGGTGACTCATAGTGACCCTAAAAAGGGTTTCCTAGACTTTAAATCTTTACAGGAGCAGACAGCCTCATCTTTCTCCCACTGAGCAGTTGCTGGGTTTGAATCCCTGACTTTGTGGTTAACAGCAGGGATCCTTATTATAGCAATGCCTCCAGGTGTAAATACAACTTAGAATATTTATAGAAGGGAGATTATGAATAAGTAAGTAAGCAACTATTTTTATTTGGTTTCACTTTGTGCATATGTCAGCAAATATAAGGAGTTGGAAAACATAAAATATAATTGTTACACTGAAATAATCTTGAACTTGAAGTGGGTGGGAAAAGGGGTAAGGCAATAACATAATATTTTTTACCTCAAACAGAACCTGAGATGTTTAAGGAAAAATCTATGTTTAATATACATTTTTTATTTTATTTTTCAATATTTTTGCTTTTTCATGAAATATCATCTTTCTAATGCTGTGATAGACAAAATGAATAGGAGAACATGCACATTTGAGATATAACTTATATGTAGTTAGGATTTTGACTGGAAGATATCTGCCTTGTATTTTGGCCTCAACTTAATATAATCATTGCTGTTAGTCAGTTCTGACTCATAGTGACCAGATAGGACCTTATAGAACTGCCCCATAGTATTTCCAAGGCTATAATCTTACAAGGTGCTGGTGTGGCACTGTGGGATAATGTACTGGACCAAATTCACCGCAAGGTCGGTGGTTAAAACCCACCAGCTGCTCCTCGGAAACCCTATGGATCACTGAGTCAGAACCAACAACCATCTTACAGAAACAGACTCACATTTTTTTCCTGTGGAGTGACTGGTGGGTTCACACTGCCCACCTTTTGGTCAGTGCTGGAGCTCTTTAACTACTCCACTATCAGCACTTATTCAATTTAACATAATTACATATAATTTTGAATAATGTATCTTTACAATATTAAACAACTCAATTTATACCATGGAGGGTCTATGTAGTAGTTCTGTAATCCCCCCAACCAATGCTACATATGGATGTGCTGGCTGCAAAGTAACTAGTATGTTTAGACTTTTAAATCTATCATGATCTAAATGGGCATTTGTGTAAAGAATGTTTCAATATACAATTTTTCTAATATATAAATCTAAAAAATTTAAATAAAAATGTTCAGGTTGATAAAAATTATATTTAAAATATAAATATAGCATTTGTCAAATTTCTTTTCTCTTATATTCTTTTAAGGAGCTCTGGTAGCATAGTGATTACGAGTTGGGCTGTTAATCTCAAGGTCAGCAGTTCGAAACTACCAGTGGTTCCACAGGACAAAATGAGAATTTCTGTTCCCGTAAAGATTTATAGCCTCGAAACCCTATACAGGGTCACTTTGATTCGGAATCAGCTCCAAGGCACATTACTACCACTGCCACCATATTCTTTTTGGGACCCTGGGGTGGCACTGTAAGGGAAGTATTGGACTGCTAGCTGCAAAATCAGTGGTTCAAACCCACCAGCCACTCCTCAGAAACCCTGTAGAGGGTGCCTATGAGTTGGAATTTATTTGATGACATTTAACAATATATTGTTTTTTAATGAAATGCTGCATTTATTCAAAATGCAGACATCTTCATATCAGGTGCTGCTTGTTCTAAGAATCTGAATGGTTGGCATTTGAAAGCATAGTTTTTTGAGTATTTGAGATAAATGTGATAGCTATGACAGGTAAGGTTTAGTGTCAAAGTGGCTGGTCCCGCATTCTTCGTGGTTAGCAGTTAAGATGCAGTTAGCAACTTCCATGACGAGCTCTAATATAATACAGTTAAGCTAGTGAAAACATAGAGGAGTTTACATTTTAATAGCTGATAAACTTTGTGTGTCCAAAGTGGGAAAAACCTTTCCTGTCTTTGCTACTTAGGACTTGTAGCAGAAATGTATGTTGAGGTATTTCAATCAATCCTTGTTGTTGCTGTTGTTAAGTGGCACCGAGTCGATTCCAATCCATAGTGACCCTGTGTAAGGTTTCCAAGGAATGACTGGTGACCTTGAACCACTCACCTTGTGGATCAAACCAATTTTGTAGTTCAGCACATAAACTCACAGCACCACACCAGGACTCAGTCAATCTTTACTTTCTGTAAATTTGGTCTCAGAATGGGTGGGGGATGTTTCAAAAGTAGTCACTGCTGGGATCAACTTCAGTTACAGTGTCTAGTTCTGGGCACCTGACTCTTTCATATCTTTATCTGGGCACTGATTTCTGTTCATTTGCTGTGGGGATAATTATGCTGGGTCACACTCTCAAAGCTGGCTGCATTTTAGGTGGTGGCATTTGAGCATTGTGACTGGGTAAATAAATATGGAAACAGCTAAGCAAAGGTCAAATGTTCTAATTTCTTTGTTGGCATAGTACCTAGTGCTGTCAGTCAATTCCAACTCATAGAGACTCTATAGGACAGAAGAGAATTGCTCTTTAGTGTTTCTGAGGCTACAAATCTTTATAGGAGCACACACCCCATCTTCCTCATGAGAAATGGCTGATGGGTTTGAATCGAACCACTGACTGTGCCATTAGCTGTCAAATTCTTATATCACTTTCTGTCTTTAAGTAGTTTGCCCAGCAGTTCTATCAAGGGCTCATAAACTGACTTGTTTACAGCATGTGCTCATGCATAATATTTCCTTGGACAATGTGGATCCATCTACTTTATAGCAAAGTAAGTGCAGGAAAGCACATATAACTAGGAAATCCATGGATCCTACCATATATGGTGACAAGTGGGGCTTGCCAATCAGATGGTGCATCGTAGGCACCACATTGAAAATGACACACTTCTGAATTGGGGCTTTGTTCTTCAAGACATATGCTTTGAATGAGTGGCCTTTACATGGTACTATGTCCCCTCTGGAGTCCTGATGTGACTCTGTAGGATAAACACTGGACTGCTAACTTCAAAAATTGATGGTTCAAACCCACCAGTCTCTCCTCAGAAACCTTATTGGGATCTCTATGAGTCAGAACTGAGTGGACAGTCTTTAACAACAACGTGTTCCCTCTAATGGAGTCCCTAGGTAGCACAATTAAGCTTTTGATGTGTAGCTGAAAGGCTGGTAGTTTGAGCCCACTCAGAGACTCTTCAGAGCACAGGTCTGGAGCTATGCTTCTGAAAGGTCACAGCCTTGAAAACCCTAAGGAGCAGTTGTATTCTGCACATGAGTGGGAATCGACTTGACAGAAATAACAATGCAACAGCAAGAACAATGTCCCATGTAGATAAAATGCATGGGTCTGGAAGTCAGAGGATAGAAATAAAAGTGATACCTCTCTCTGTGAATCAAAGTGACCTTAAAAAGTTTCTGTTTTCTATTCCTCAAACTTTAGAATCTGTTGGAGTGGCAACAATGTGTATTTTGGGAGATGCAGTATGGATTTCAATAAATCTAAATTCTTCTTTTAAAAACAAAAACTTTCCTGTCATTTAGGTTTCCTCAGGTTGAAAGACCAGCAGTCAGAAGAAAGTGATCTCATTCTTTTCCTTCATTACTATGAAGAGATAGGGATGCTGTTTCATAAAGGATGAGGTATGAAGAGTATATCTGAAACTAGGAATCCACTAAGGCAGCACTTGGTGGTTCCATAGTTGATGACAACTGTAAAAGGGTAACTATGGCAACAGTAGACTGGCAAGGACATTTTAATCAGGGACTCATCCTGATTAACTCATAGTTAAATGTAGCTCCTCAATGGCAAGCAACCTAGACCAGAAACACTGACTGATAATAAGGGGACTTTAAAATGGAAAGTAGAGGAGGAGATGATGAATATCAATTAGGAGCCACCGTGCTGTTTTAGCTGATCACCCTCCTGTTGTAAGTCTTTCTTTTATGAACTTGTCAACAGCTACCACTTAAGGGAATTTTTACAGGATAATAAAATGGAATCATATAGGTGTAAGTGATTTTAGAAGTGGAATATAACCCAGCATTTATTATTTCCAAATAAGGAGATGGTTCTCTATTTCCAGCACCTCAAAGTCCACTGATGACTTGTGTCTTGCTTCTTAACATGCACAGTATTGTTTTGGGATTGGAAGGACATGGCAAGGAGTTAATTTACCTTCTAATAATGAAGAAATACTGTAGCTTCCTTGCTCTTCAGTTGGGACTATGTTAAGTCACAGACTCTATAGAGTCTCCCAGAGGGTCCGAGTAGGCTAAACCTCAGTCATATTGTTCAACATAAGTATCCTTCTTTTGCCTATCTCACACTCTCATCCCCATCTGATGTTTTCCAATGTCAATTTCCAAATAAAGTATCTGCAATAAAGGTATGTCATTGGGTCTTTCTCTGAGAGAACTTAACTTGAATAATTTAGTAGTGTGGCTCCATAGGATAAGCATTGTATTGCTAACTACAAAGTTGGCAGTTCAAACCCACTAACTGCTCCTTGGAAACTCTATACAGGGTGGCTATGAGTTAGAACCAACTCAACAGGACTTCACACTAAGTCTAAAGGAGCACTGGTAGACTAGTGGGTTACAGCAGTGGGCTGCCAACATAAAGGCCAGCAGTTCAAAACTAAGTTGGGCTACTAACAGCAAGGTCAGCAGTTGGAATTTACCAGCTCCTCCGAGGGGAAAACAGATGAGGCTTTCTGCTTCCATAAACATTTACAGCCTTGGAAACCCAAGGCTCACTGAATCACAGTGAGTCAGAACTGACTCCATGGTGCACAACTACAACCACCACAACTGCTAATTGTAATGATATTTAGGAGATATTGCTGCTTTCAATGAAAATCATGGTTATCATGGGGGATTAGCATTTCCGTTATCATGGTGGATTCACACTTACCACAGTGGTAATAGTAATGAATAAATGCTCTACAGAAGTAGTAGAAATGGGTTTAAAGAAATGGCTGATGCATTCAGTTATGGCTGTGTTAAATGTGGGATGTTTAAATAAAGATGTCTAACAGGCAGGTGTGTGTATAGTTTTAGAGCTCCAAAGGCAGATGTGCTCAACAAAATCGGAGATAATATTGCTGTTTGCTCATTCTTCTTATTGCTGTCTTCATGTCTTTGTTTCTCAATGTATAAATGGCAGGATTCAAGATAGGGGTGATAGCGAAGTCAACAATGAACAGGTATTTATCAAGCGATGACGTGGGAAAAGGCCACACATAAAGAAACATGCATGGAGTGAAAAAAAGGACAACCACGGTGATGTGAGCTGACAAAGTGACAAATGCCTTGGATAAATCACCTGAAGCACGTTTCCAGACAGTGACCAAAATGAAGGCATAGGAAAGGATTAGCAGGAAAAAGGTACCCATGCTCATGAACCCACTGTTGGCAGCAATGATAAATTCAAATTTGTATCCATCTGTGCAAGCAAGTTTTATGATCCTGGGAAAGTCACAAAAAAAGCTGTCTATTTTATTAGGCCCACAAAAGGGCAAGCTAATAACAAATGAAAACTGAGACATAGCATGGATAACCCCAGTTACCCAGCCAATGACTACAATTGAAACACAAACTTTATGATTCATGATGCTCAAGTAGTGAAGAGGCTTACAGATGGCTGTGTACCTGTCAAATGCCATGGCTATGAGTAACACCATCTCCACTCCTCCTAGGATGTGGATGAAGCATATCTGTGTCATACAACCTTGAAAAGAAATTACTTTGTGTTCATTCAAAAGGTCTGTAATCATCTTGGGAACTGTGGTAGTTGCAACACCCAAGTCAATGAGGGACAGATTGGCCAGCAGGAAGTACATAGGAGAATGTAAGTGAGAATCAAGAATCACCAAAAACAAAATGAAAAGGTTTCCCAGGATGATCCCCAAATAGAGTAGGGAGAATGTCAACGTCAGAAAAACTCTAGTTTCCCAAGAACTGGAGAGTCCCAGCAACACAAACTCAGAAATCACTGAATCATTTAGTTTACCCATTGACTGGGACAGAAGAGCTGATTTTCAAGTAACCTGTAGATAGGAAATGAGAAAGTGTCAGAATGAGTGACATAAGCAGTCAATTTTCTACTTACCTTGCTAATTTGTTCTATGAGTTACATGTACTGGAATTATTAATCACTAATTGGAAATAAGCAAAATAAAGAAAATAGCAGGATTATGGTTTCAAGAACAGTGACTACATAAAAAGACAGACACAATTTTGAATATTTTAGGTGGAAGCAAATGGGGTTACTTCCTTTATTACTATTGTTGTTGCTGATATTAAATACTGTTGAGCTGGTTCCAACTCATAGTGACCCTGTATAGGGTTTCTGAGGGGTGATTGGTGGATTTGAACCACCGACCTTGCAGTTCTAACTGACCTTGAGATCCAGTGCTTATCCTACAGTGCCACACCAGGACTCCATTAACCTACTATTAGATGTTATTTATTGATTCATTTATTTATTTAACCCCTTAAGGATTTCTAGACATTTTTTTTTTTTTGACAGTTTGCTAAATGATAGCCCACCTATATACTCTTAGGCATTTTATGCCACCTGGACATTAACACTTTCACACTAACTTGCAAATTCTCTTTTGCTTAGTTTTATGCTTCATTGAGCAAACAGAGATCATTAGGTCCAAACTGTTTAATATTTTAAAACAATTACAATCAAAATGAATAGCCCAGTTTCAGATTATTCATATATTGCTCATAGTACATTGTTACCATTTGTGTATGCATAAATCTGTTATTCAGTGAAATACAGTATATTATCAATGCCTGTTAATAAGTATAAAATGTTATTTAAATAAACATAAATGTAATAGACAACATATATTAAGTACTATACTAAGAACATTGCCTCTTGTAAACTTCACAAAATTTCTGAGATAGATTCTGTTTTGTTAGATTTATTTCACAAATGAGACCTACTGAAACTAAATCTCTGAAAGATCAAATGTCAGAAAGACACAAGCCAGGACTTGTATCCAGAGATGTAGAAGAACATACTCAATGCTGCTCATCAGAATGCTGTTCTTCTTAATGCATGCTTCCTGAATGTTCCCAGAGATCCATCAACTGAACTTTATTCAACTCTTCACTCTCCTTGACCCACCATAGTAACTCTCTTTTTAAAAATTCTGAATCCTGTTATACTTTTCATTCAGTTGATAAGTCAAACCAATTCCTTTTTTTATAGGAATAAAGTCTAAATTCTGAATACCTACTATGATAATCACATTTCAATCATTATTTTCTGTGCTCTGCACAATTTGAAACTGTTGACCATTCTCTTTTTTCCCTGTAATTCCCATGCCCTTTCATTTATGGTCATTATCCCTTCCTTACCAACAGAAATTCCATTTGTTCAGGCAGTGGGCTGAAATCTGGAAATTTTACTAGAAAGCAGTTCCAGCTCAGCCCAAGAGGATGAAACATGATTTTTTGAAACAAATTTCCTTGGGATATTCCTTTGTCTGAGATAAGGCATCTGATCTGAAACTATTTAATGTTATATAAATTAGTGTTGGCTGTGGAGAGACCTCCTTTGCAAATAAGACAAAGCTTCATGTGGAGAAAGATCCTTTTCCTGGTCTATCTGCATATAATGATAATATTATGCCTAATGATATAGTCTACTTTTGTAAAGATTGTTGTTGTTGTTGTTAAGTGCTGTTGAATAGGTTCCGACTCCTAGTGACCCTGTATAGGGTTTCCAAGGAGCAACTAAATTACAGTCTTCAAAACCCTATTGATAGTTCTACTCTGGAAACAACTTAATGACAATTTTTGTTTCATTTCATGCAAATTTAAACTAGTACATCATTGTTGATGAATTCTAAATATGTAGTTTTATCTTTGGATTCCAGAGTAACATATACAAAACTGTAAGTGATATACATAAAATGGGAGTCCCACTCCAAGGTAATACTTCAAATCTGAACTTATAATATTATAATATAATATACTCAAATGCTTGTATAAATATCATTATCATCCTCCCAAATGCCCAATATGTGGGATAACATTCTTATTTCTTTACTTTCCATTTCCAGAAGCACAATTTTCACTCTGAAGTATTTCTCAATTCATTTTTCTTCTCTTAAATTTTATAATCAATTTCTTCCTTCCAGTATACATATTTTCCCACCTTCATTTGAAAATAGAAAAGACTTCTAAATTATCTTTCTATTCTCAATAATATCTATTTCCGGCTCATTTTATACTCTGCTTCCAGATCTGTCTATATAAAGATAAAATACGATAATATGACTCTCGTACTTAAAGTCTATGATAGTTCTATTATTAGAAAATCTTAAAGCATATAAGTCAAATTACATTTGATTTCAGAGAGATTTCCATAAAACTCTTAGGGAATGAATTTACTGAACAATTATTGGCTAAATTTCAACATCCAACAGTTAGTAATATATGAAGAATTTAAAAAAAATTAGCATGATGCTTTTAATAGCATTTCTAAACCAACAGTTAGTATCTGATTTTAGATGAAACATTAAAATCAAGAATACAACAAAGAACTACTAAAATAGCACTAGCACTTTAATACATTAGAGATGAAATGAAGCAATGATATTGAAAAGAAGGTAGCAAAATTGCTATCATTTGTAATCACACAAATGTCTATTTGAAAATGTAGTCAAATGGAAGCTATTAAATTGAATATGAGCATTTAAACAACATAATAATTCAATAATACTTTAAAATATGTTAAAAATAAATCTTATTTATAAATGAATAATGTTGTAAATATGTATGGGATCAATCTATTGAAAATATTATTTTATTATGTATTTGTAACTCTGGATAGAAAGGAAAATCAAGGCATACTAATATGGAAAAAAAATAGAATCCAAAACATAAAAAAATCAATTCTTACTGAATTGCTCCATAATAACTATAGTGCTCACAAAAAGTTCAGTGATATCCCCTTAGAACATGACAAAGTGATCCAAAAGTCCAGTTCCATAACTAGGGAGATTGTGAAGTGAAAATGTAGTAGGAGTCAGGAAGGACAAGGGAATGCTTTCTATAAAATATATTAGAATATGTTATAAACCTATAATAATTATAACATCACCACTTTGGCTAAAGCCCTGGTGTGGCACTGTAGTAAAAGCACTGGATTGCTAACTGCGAGGTTGGTGGTTCAAACCCACTGACCATTTCTTGGAAACCCAGTACAGAGTTGTTATGAATCATAACCAACTCAACAGCATTGAACAACAACATCAACAAGCTTGACTAAAATTGAACAGATACAACTGGAACAAAACAGTCAAAAGTTAATTAAATATATATAATTTATTGTATGATAAAAAAGACATCACAATTGTGTAGGAACAAGGGACATTCAATAAATTCATAGCATTCAATAGTGGTTAAACATGTTGCTCAACATGGACAACAGAATGTTGTATAAATGTTCTACCATGTATCTTGTTTTCAGGTCTCACGTTGAGTTGAATCTGACTTAGAGTGATCCTATGTACAACTTAATGAAACACCACCTGATCCTATACCATCCTCACAGTCTTGTTGTGTTTGAGCCCTCTGCGCTGAGGTCAATCCATCTCAGTGAGGGTCGTCTTCTTTTTTGCTGATCATCTACTTTACCCAGTTTTACCATACATAGTATAGCAAAATAAACTACATATGATTTGAAAGCAAATGTAAAAGTAAAGTTATAAAATTTGAATAAAACATACTAATTTGTTTTATCAACTTGAGGCTAAGGTCTTTCTAAATTTACTCTAAATTCAAAAATAGGTCATCCACATCTATATATTTTTTAACAGAATGACTGAATCCAGTGTTGTTGCGGGGTGGGTAAAGCAATGCCTCTCCTTCACAGCTGATGGTAATATAAAGTAATACATTCATTTCAGAGGGTGATTTGGCAGTAGAGTAAAATATCTTTTAACTGAGATAGAAATCTTGTATTTTGAAATAATTTGCTAGGAAAAATCAGATAAATTTGTAATGTTTCTTTATTTGTCAATATATTTTATAATGCTAATTTCAAACAGATTAACTGTTCAGGATAAAAGGACTAATTAAGTAACTAAGTGTATACATTCATACAATATAGACTTTAAATGCATGTAACAGGGATTCAAAAAGTTTATAGAAATATTCCATTATCTTTTAATTCCATTTCCACAGACTTTTTGAGAACTCCTGGTATAAGTTTACATTAACTAGCATGGAAGGGTCAATAAATCAAGTAAACAGGTATAGAGTATAAGTTGTTTTAGGGAGAGGAAAGAGGAGTGCTTTGCATGAGTAAATGCTTAGAATTTACCAAAAATTTCCACAGGGAATTGTGGGAATAGAAATAATGTTTTTCTTCATCTTCAAGTTGGTATAGTCTATTCTATTATCTCTATAATTTTAAACTAAGATGCATTGAAACTAATGGAAAGAATAGGAAACTGTATAAAAGACTAGTTTCCAGTATTCATATAAATGTGTCCTCAGTTTTCACTTAATTAGGTGTGTGTCCTAGGGTGAGCTAACTTAATTAATGGTACCTCAAATATTTTTATCTGTGAAAAACAATATTAAGAGTTTTTAGCTCATATAATTGAATGAGCTGAAGCAAGAAAAATACCAGAAAATGCTATGATATAGAGTAGGAACTCAGTAAGTTTTATCTCTCACGATGATTTTTAAGGATACAGACCTGGAGTTCTTTAGCAGTTGAATTCTTCAGACAAAAGTAAGGATAGCACGCTTTTTCTTGTTGTACTAGATATAATGGAACAAACAGGATGTGGACATTACTTTTCATTTTTCTTATTCCAGTATTCAGAGGGGAAGTGTGATGACTCCATAGGATAAGCACTAGACTGCAAACTACAAGTTGGTGGTTTGAACCCACCAGACTCTTTGCAGGAGAAAGACGGGGCTTTCTGCTTCCGCAAAGATTTATTTTTATTTAAAGCCCAGAAATGCTATACAGAGTTGC